ACCAAAAATAATTGGATGAAGGTTAAGTTGGTGGGCTTGTTGGATCTATGAAATAACTGTTTTTTGTGTTTTATTGTATTTGATATGTATCAGTAAAAGAGAGATAAATTGCTATAATATGAAGTTTAATTTTATTTTTAAAAAAGAAGTCTAAAGCTACTATTTCTCTAGCATGTATTTGGCAGTTGTATACATGTGGTTAAAGGTGGTTGCAGATTATAATAGTAGCACCTTCTGCAGAATTTTTAGAGTTTGCCCAAAAATAGATAAACAGATTATTGTTACAAAAGTGAAGATTAGTAGTATTGATAATTTTGTTTTAGTAATATAGGCAATATTAATGTTATTATAGAGACAGTAGTTTTGCCATGTTTCTTTTCTGATTATTGTGTTGAATCCTTGAACATTATGTATTGTAATGTTTAAATGAAGGTCTTACAAGTTTTGTATAAGTATAGAAATTTAAGATGGATATAATGATAAGATTGGAAGTGGTGATAAAGAAATAAAAGGAAATAAAGATTGTTGTAATAGTATTAAAAATGTAGAAGATAACAAGTTTGGTGTTAATATTGAAGTATATTGATTTGTTAAGTTAAGAAAATCATTTTCTGTTGTATATAATTTTAGTAAAATGTTTGGATAATGCCAAATAGCTTGAAGTGGTAGAATAAAATGATTAGATAGATAGAGGTTTAGGTTCAGATAGAAGGTAAACAAGGGCTTTACTATAATAATTTTTAATAAAAATAGTTAAGATATAATCACAAGCAATGCTTGATAAATAATTATAACTATAAATGTGTTGTAAGAAATAAATAATTGTTTATAGGTGTAAGAGTAGTGAAAGATGGTTATAGTCTAGGAATTTATTATAGCATGTATGAAGTTGTATAGAGCCAAACTGTTCATTAGCAATAACAATATCATCATGGCCAGATAGAACAGTTTCTACTAATTGTATATAAGTGTAATTTAAAGTATTATCTACAAGAACAGGTTTGGTATATTGTATAATATTAAGTGTTGAAGAATATTTTAAAGAAATAGATATTGATGGATAGAATTTATAGCCAGATTGATATGAGATGAAGTAGTCAGATAAGGGTTCTGATTTATTTGATAAATATATTAAGCACTCACTGTAGTCTAGTTTAATTGATATTGCTAGTATAAAGTTGTAAAGATTAAGTGATGTGTAATTGTAAGGATGTATATGCTCAAGAAAGGAATAAAGAGTTTGTAGATGTAAAAGTAAAAGTAGGTCTTGATGAACTAACTATTTATTATAGCAAAAATTTGGATTAAGTAGTGTATTGTATGATAGGTCATGTAATGTTTCTTTGAAGTATGATAATGCAATAGAGTTCAAGAAGGTAAAAAGTTCCTCTATAGATTTACTTACCATATGCTTGGCTCTCACAGCTGTGAAAAGTACTATAGCCTGCTCTATATGTTGAGTCTGGCTATTATAAACTTAGTTCTCTATATAAGTAAGCAAAAATTTAAAAAACTTATGATGATAAAAGAGTTAAAAATAGAAATAATCAAGTATTAAAAACTAAATAAGAATGTTAACCAAGAAATAGTGAAGATACTAAGAAGAAATTTAACAAAAAACAAAAACAAATATATTATATATACAGACAATGCAGTAAATATAAAAATCTGAGAAGAAATGCTAGTTAAGAACATAGAAATAAGATGAATTTAAACAAATAAGATGCAAAAGTAATCAGAAAAAGAAATGTTATTAAGATTAAAAGAATAGATAATATTAATAATAACAAAATTAGTAGCAATATAAGTAGCAAGCTTAATAATATTAAAAAGAATACAAGTAGAAATATATATAAACAGTAATGCTGCAATAAGAAATATTAGTAAAGATTTAGAGCAAATAGATAGAATAAAGATTTTTAAGAAAAAAAATGTAATATAAATAATGAATTTTTTTTTTAAAAAAAAATAAGATTGTGCCTCAGTTTCTTTATTAATTTTTAATATCTAAATACATTTTGATTTGTAGTACATATTATTTAATCTTTGAAAACTAATATAATTTGATAAAATATTGTAGTTAAACAGTTTTTTCAAATTTCAAGTTTAATTTCTATTTTTAAGTCTGTTAGTACTATATTATGTGCATTGGTTATAGCCATTAAAACTGTTATTATATTTCTACCAGCTTTCTATAAATGCATTGTACTATGTTTGTTTAATGTATTGTGTTATTTTTGACATCATGTTAACTATATTTTTTTGTATATTCTTTGTATAATTATATGCATTAGGTAAACTGATAAACTATGTTTTTATTTTGGTACTTGTGCTATTTTTTTATATATTTTGTATTGTCTTGTAATAGCATCTCTAAGGTTACTCTTGTTAGTTTAGTTTGTGCATTTGTTAAGCATATACTTTGAGTGATTATTATTGTTATTTGATGCTATGTTTTGTTGTTTGTTATGTCTTGCTTAGCCAAAGTTTTATTCACTGTTTTAGTTATTATTTTTCATAAGCTTGTACTGTTGCAGCTGTATATTAGCAAATGATAGATGCTTTCTGTTGTAGTATAGCATCATATACATGTAGAGTTAGGATATTTTTTGTTATTCTGTTTATGTAGAACTTCTAGCATTGGCAGCTCTTCTAATAATAGTTTTATTTTGAAAGCTTTTAGTTGAGAGTATTTGGAATTAGTTTGTTTTTGTATTAAAGAATATTAATAATTTAAGTAGTTGTAAAAGGAATTTTAATTTAGATTTTTATGACTAGTATTCCAAATTTGTGTTCTTGCTTGTAATTGTCAGTATGTATATAGCTAACATTATGGATATGACAAACAAATTTTCTGATATTGTATTTAATTGGTTTATTTTGTCATATAGAATATAGAATATTATAGCATATGTTTTTATGATTTATATCTGTTTCTATAATAAGAGAATCTAGTTAAATAGTGTAAGTAATAAGATCAAAGAACACAATTAGCTATGAATATATAATATAAATCTTTTCTTATGACTATAGTGTGAATGACTTAATTACATTCAAAACTTCAAAATGCAAAGGCTTTTTAACTAAATATAAAACTAGCAAAAATAAATACATAGTTAAATAGCCTTTAATGTATACTACAAAGTTACATATTTTTTTTGCTCACTATATTATTAAATTTTTTTGTAGTTAGGGTTTTATTAGAGCCAATTTTAATAGTAATCGTCAGATTTTCAGCACATACAGAATCACGTGAAACTATCTAATTGGTGACTATTATTGCACATGATCGAACATGATTGGCTGCATGTAATTTGTGTTACCAAAGATCATTGCCAAGACTTTTGTAAAAGAATTTTCCATTATACGATGTAATTTCAACCTATTTTTATCCTTTTCGACAGTTATTAAGAATCTATTCGGAAAGGTAAAGTCATTGCTTTGGAACAAGAAGCTATGATTTATAAGTTCAAACATCAAGAAATTCAGACTCAAGCCCAAGAATGTAACATGTCAAATAATTGAATTATAATATACTGTCAACTATCTATATAACAGAAATCTTGGCTAAAAACAAATCACTGTTATATGACTTTTTTATTATTATTCCATTATAATCATTATAAATTATTTATATATTAAAGATTTGGTTCTTTGCAATTGGTCTGTTAAACTGGTAAATCTGGTCTAGGGGTGTCTGTTATATCAGTAGTTGACAGTATTTGCCATGATTGCTGATTCACTTTGAAAACCTATATTTAAGCAGTACAGTGTAAAATTCCTAAGAAAATCTAGAAAATCTGTCAAAAGAAGTACAAAGTAAAGTGTTTGAGGATTATAGAATGAGAATAGATAGAATACTTTGAAAAATATGGACCCCAGTCCTGAAAAGAAGCAAGAATTAGTAGCATTAAAAAAACACCAATGTTCACTTCGTAAAACTTACAGGGGAGACTATTGATATTATGCGATTGATCCTTCACCCAGTTTGCAATATATAAAAAAATTATCTTACAATACCAGATCATCTATTTTATTATATAATAAAAATGGTGCTGAATTATAATCATAACATGTACTAGTGGAATAATCTGGCATTGTAAAATAATTTTTTTATATGTTGTACAGTCTTTTCTGCATTGCTTAAAAATGAAAATATTATGTATTACATAAGTACTGAATGCAAAAACAATTGATTAAAAGAAATCAAGACGGTTAAAATGAGTTTAGTTTTTGAAAAACTTTTATTAGGCATTGAACTTATTGTATTGAAGTAAAATGATTTTTTTTAATGATCTAATGTCTATATTATTTAACATTGTGTAGAATTTATTAAGTAGTTATGTTTTAGTATAGATATGTATTACTGTATTACTGTTTAATGAATATTATAGAGCAAATGTAATAATGTGAAAATTGTAATAGTTCAAAAGAAAAGCTATTATTTAAAAAGTTATAATTAATAAAGAGTAAAGTTTTATAAGTAGTTTCTAATTTGGTAAATACAAATGCAGGTAACTAATGTAATTTTTGGTGTTGCCCAATTAATGATATATCTACTTAATTGAGATGACCAAGTATGTACATATAAGTACTGTTATTCATATTAGTCTTTAACATCAAAGATAATATGCAAAAAAAAAAATACAACAGTATCAGCTGCATAAGCAGCCAATACAGTTGTATCTTCACAATATATACATCCAATCGCCCAGGATATAGCTATTACTATATAATATATTAAGCTTCACTGATGCATACATACCCTTATATAAACTAATCTATTATATTCATCAGTGCTCTTATATGAACTAATCGCATGCATATTAAAATTTTTTTATTTAAAGTTGACCAATTTATTAATTGATAATAAAAAAGAAGTGTGGAAATAAAAATTCTTTACTTTTATTGATTTTCATTTTTTAATACATTTGTTTTTTTTTAAATTTAATTTTATATATTTTTTTATTTTATATTATTTTTTATTATTTTTTTTTAGTTTATTGATTAACATCACCAAATTCTTCTAAAACACTTGTAGGAACATAGCAATGTGATCGATACCATTTCACTGCAAAAACAGCTGCCTTACCTATAAGCCCAACTTCATAAGCACTCATGTAGCATTCAGAATGATGTGCAAATCGGCAAATTTTCATTAGGCTAATGGATTCCAATGCATGTAATACAACTTCCTGAAGGCCCTTGAATGTGTAGTCATAATGGAGTCGTGAATACCTTTTTGTTTCTGACCAGAATGACTCAATATAATTAAGTTCACAATAGAACTTCAGATAAAACATACACATATGGCCTGCTGCTTCAATGATCTAAAAAAATTATTAACATTAATAAGTTAAATTATCAACAATTTTTTTTTATTATACAACAACTTATCTCTTGTAGATGTGATTTTTGAGATGCAAAGTTAGGCTAGGCAGAAAGAATGCATGTTGCACAACAATTCAGATTAATTAAATCTAGATTATTTTGTTTACACACATCACATTTTCTTATCAAGCTCAGTATCCACAATCCATGCTCATAAATAACTCATCAAATATCTTTGAGTTTTACTATACTATCGATATCTGTGAACATTATAATATGTGTCGAGCTATCAGGTTTTTGACCATTATGGAGAAGAGGTTGTTTACCACCATCCTTCATGTTCATTCTTGTAACCACTAATGCATCATCAGGAAATGTATTGTAGTTGCAACTATTATTAAACAAAAACAAAGCAACCTTTCCCAGGTGAGTTTGTTCAAATATTGGAATTGCATGTTCACTTACCTGCTTAATGAGATCTTTACTTGTCTACCAGCCATCACGATTTGTATCAGGATGCATGACAACACAGACTTCAGTATATATAAGCTGCTCATTATCAGGTAATAAATCATTCATAGCACACTTCTTCTCTAAAAGTTGAAGATGCCTGATAGATTCACAAATAAAGTTGCTTACATAGATACTAAGACCTTGTGACTTTTAACAAAGTTGGCTTTTATCTTCTGAACCCTAGGCCTTAACAGCACCGTCCTTGGCATAAAATAACGACTCATCCTGGGTAATAGAAACAATCTCAGGTAAAAGTAAAGATGGAATAATCTGATCCAAATTTTCACCTTCATAAGTAGTCATTCTTTTTTGTAATTCTGCAAATTTCTGCAAAAATTCATGCTGATATGCTACTATGTCCTCATGTTCATATCATCAAAATATATATTTTTTGAATGATCTTTATATTGCCAACCAAGCTTATGCAACCATTCACGTGCTGTTGTATGTGAAATGGTTATCTTTTCCTCTATTTCAAGAGCAGGTATAGCCTCATTCTCAATGAATTTTACAAATTCAGCAATCCTCAATGTAAATTTATGTGTATGCAAATATTCAGTAACTTGTAATTTAAAATCTTCATGGAGAAGAAGAGATCTAATTTTTGCATAATGACCACGTTTAGATGTAATAATCTTATCTTTATTTAGCCACTGGTTTGTCCAAGAGTAAATAAGCCATGCATGTCATGATCCTTTGCCCAAGCTCTGAGAAAGAAATATACTTGCATCCATCTTGCTAAATTCCTGATTCTGAACCAGATAGAGATATTGACTTACCATCCTAAGCTGCAAATCATCGCTCTTATTTTTTAACAATAAATCTAAAGATCCTAATGTAAATTTACTATCATTATTATCGCTACTATTGTATGTATCATCAATGTAAAATCATAATTTTTCATATGTGACTCAGGAACTTCAACATTCTTCAAGGGAAACATATTAGTAATCTTTTTAGAACCTGAAGCTGCTTTTTTCCAATATGCTCTCTTGTTGCACAATGTTGATTCTGCATTACTTTTATATATTGGTTCATGTGAACTTGTAGTTCATATTTTTGTCTTTGCATTTTCAACTAATTGCTTCAGTGTATTTTGTTGCAGCCCTTGTAGTTGATCTATGATGTCTTCACTATTAAACCAATTTTTCTTACCTTTTATCCAAAAAGTACTGAAACATTCATCATATTAATCAGGTTCAGCATCTGATAGCTTATCAAGGTTTTCCATTTGCATCTCGCTAACAACTTCCTCATACTCGATGGGTTCAGGCTCTAATTCTTCAACTATCCTAAATTCTAATTCTTTAACTGGTTCAGACTCTAATTTCTGATCAGAATTTTTTGCTTGCTTCCAATGTTTTCTAATAGCTTCTAGTGATTGTCTTGCATGTTTACTTCTTTTTGGCATTGAAATACTGTTAAATTTAAAAATATCTAAAATATTAGTTATAATAAGTTGTATTTGTAGCTAGTTTAATATCTTAAAAACAAATCAATATGAAAAATTATCTAAAACTTAAAAAAAAAAAATTTGAGAAAGTAATTAAATACTTATAAAAGATGCCAAAGTTAGTACATAATTAGACAATCATTTGATTTTTAGGAGGGTTGTTTAAATTAATGATTTATCATTATTGACAATCTTTTGTGAAACATTTTCTAATTTGGCTAATTCTTCCAAACTTAATTTTTTACTCTTTCTCACTTTTACAAAAGAATAAAAGGAAAAAGACCCACATATATTTTTTTAAATGTGTATTACATTTTTTACACGAATTAATATGAGTAACAGGCAGAGAAAACCGGGATATCTAAAAATAGATTTTTTTATACAAAGAAGTGCGAACTTTAATACAACACAGAAAAATTTGATCCAGAGCTAACTCTCTTTCAATTATGTGTTTTACTGATAACTTTTTAAAATATTGCACTTCTCTGTATAAAAAAAACTATTTTTAGATATCCCGGTTTTCTCTGCCCATCACTCATATAATATTTAAGGATTTATAGTTTGTTATACTAAAGCTTACTGTGATAAGATCCATAATACATATATAAAGTTTTAAGTACTTGTTACTAATTCTATTTTTACATATTAGCATTCTTTATATTTTAAAATATCTTCAACATAGCTTAGAAATCACTTTATCTATTTATAAAAAAAGGTTGTACTTTTAGTTTTTTTCAATAATTCAACTATATTTAATATTTTAGTAATTACATCTAGTTTTATAATTGCAGTATACTTAAAAACTTTACCTTTTAAGTAAAGTACCTTTAGGTGTAGGATTATTTGAAGAAGGTGTCATGTTTAATTTTATTTTTTTATTTGTGAAATTTTATATTCGAAAAAAGTACTTTAAACTGTATAAATACAAATGTAAATCAGTGCGAATTCATATATAAATTCATATATAGAATCCATCTTTAACAAATCTGATCGTAATGATATTCTGGCTTGGCAAAATTTACAATTAATTGCATTTTTAAAGAGATCACACAAGCAACTTTATCAATAACTTTATTATATAACCACTGAATGTCAACGAAATAAATGTAGTAATAACAGCATTTGATAAAATATTAGTGTATTGCTCAAGCATCAATTGCAGTTCTTATTTTGATTGATTATAGTAAATGAGCATTGTCATGTTTATTAGCTAATCACATAGAGAATAACATTTGAGCAAACTTTGCTTATTCGTTTCATTATACGTAAATATAATTATAGTTGTGCATGATTAAGATCATGAGCCAATCACATTGAGGTTGAAGCTTGAGAATACCCTTAGGCCATTCTTAAACTTCTTCTTCAAAGTGTTTACTGAACATGATAAAATTTGATTGTGACTATTACTTAGCTCAAAAAAAATCTGGAGCTATGATCACCAATTTTTTTCAGAATAAGGGTACTCTCAAGCATCTCCCTTAATGTGATCAACTAGTAAATGAGGTTGTGCACAAGCATCATAAATAATTGAGCTCATTCTTATGGCAATTTTGCTGAAAGTTCATATTGCGAAATGTAAATCTTAAATTTTAGCCAATAAACACACCTCTATGATAAAAAAAGGTGGTCTAGACTATCTTTTTTTTCATTACGATAAAAAGCTTAATTAACTGTTCAAAATATGTTCTACTAATTAAAAATTAAGCACTGATCTATTAATTTAGGTGCTTAAGAACATCCTAAAATCTGCATTTTGAACAATGAATTTTTAACAATTTATTCTTTGTTTAACACATTAAACACTCAATTAATCATAAGGATTTGAACAACATCTTATTATTGAAAACCAATTTTATGCCATGATAAACCATCAAAAAAGTAAATTATTAAAATGCTTATATGCATGAATATGACAAAAGTAAACTGTATATTCGAAATGCATGCATATATATACGTATATAACGAAAATTGTGTATTTTTTTTTTTTTGGTATTAAGGTGAGGCCTTGCTTATATCTTTATTAATAATTTAAAATAGTTACATATATATA